ATATTTATAGTGTTGGGATGTTAATGTGGGAAATATTTGCAGGTCATCCACCATTTGACAATAGAGCTCATAATCATCGTTTAATTTTTGATATATGTGAAGAAGGTTTACGACCACCAATATTACCTGAAATTCCTGATGATTATGCACAAATGATTCAGAGGTGTTGGGATGTGGATCCATCAAAAAGACCAACTTGTAGAGAGCTTTGGACATTTGCTATAAATAAACATAACGAAGTTTTTAAAAATAATAATACTAGTAACAGTAGTAGCAATAATAGTAATAATACTAGTAAGAATAGTAAGAATAACAGTTTAATAAAAAGATTATTCAAATTTCCTAAAATTAAAAAACATGACGTTGACCTTGATAATGATGATAGCAGCGGCAGTGGTAGTGGTGGTAGTAATGTTTCGCAACAAGTACACAAACCGCATCCAGATGCATATCATAAAAGTAGAATATTAGATGAAGAGATTGCTAAATCTAAAAGCTTAAAACTTTATACAAGTAATGATAGTTCGTTAAATAGTCTTGATTTTAACTCTTTTCTCTAAAACGATGATTTTAACAAGGGTGAATAAAAATTCATTATTAATTAATTGGAAATTACTATCCATTAATTATTACTAACGATATTTTTTAATTAATTAGATTCTTGCAATAATAGTAAGAGAAAGAATCGACGAGTGACTTAATTTAATCCCCACTATAAACTTTTATCCATTCTAATTATTTATCTTTTTATTTTATCTTTATTTTTATTTCTTAAAGCTAAATTATTAAACTTTTTACAGTTTTTGATTCTTATTAAATGGTGATATTGCGAAGGATCGTTTTGGTTAACACCGATTATTTAACAAGTATAACTGATTATGGCTTAACTTTTTGGTTACTCTTGTCAGTTAATCGCAAATAATTCGGTGCTTGTTGATTAATTAATTTACTTTGATTCTTGTTTTTATATTTATTGGCCAATTTCAAACTCACTTTAGTATCTTGCTTAACAGCCTTATGTTTACCAGTATTTCCAATTAACCTTTGGGCGATACTTCATTAGCGCTCGCTAGTTAACCAACGTTAGTCCTAACCTTTCTTGCAAAATAAAACATGGCTTTTTACCAAAGCGTTATCCTTTTACCAAGGCATTGCACTCGTTGCTTTTATCAATGTGCTTTAAACAAACTAAATAAAGACGACGTTTTTATTTTTCTTTGCTTGAACCCGAAGTCATTCCCTATTCAAGTTAACAATAAAGGTTTATTATTGCAAAGTAACTTAATTAATCAATAAAGCTACGTAAAATCTTTATTTGATAATGATTATGTTGTATATAGGTCTACACTAAAATTAGTTGACCCTGGAACATAAGGTATTCGGTGATTTCTACTCTGGTCATGTATCACGTTATTAATGAATAAGGGTGGGAAAAATTTAGCTCCTCGGGAACAATTGATGAAACAAAGAAGAGATTGGGGTGCACAAGAAAAATATAAAATTGAAGACCTTTGAATATGTTTTTTTTTTGTGAGCTTTTATACATTTTATTATTGAACTTTGGAACAATTTTACTTGTGTCAAATGTTTTTACTTGCGTCATTTTTGATTTATGGCAGCGAATTTGACGTAATAGTTTTACAACTTTCGTCAAACAACGTTAGTTATTAGTGAAAGGAATAGCTTCTTCTGTCACTAAAGATAAAGATGGAGAATTGATATTATTTATTGTTTCATTTTCTTCCACTATTACAAAATTCAAGGTCAAGTTTAATTTTAACGATGCAGAGATATTAAAGACTCTGATCAAGAATAAAAGTGACTGACTATTCATTCCTCAAAAGTAATAATAAATTAAGTGAGGAAACATCCGAGTTAAAATATGACTAGACCATTTGAAATAAGGTTTATAACCAAAGGTCTTAAATTTTTGATAATAAATCATTCTCTTAATGACCACCAAAGCGTTGAGGTTGTAAGAAGGGAAAACAGGGCATAATTAAATTATATCACTTATGGTAGTATCCAAAATGAAAAGAATTCTATTAATAGTAACAAGCGTAAACTTCGTCGATGCATACTCCGGATCCCACAAGAAATCTTGTGCGAAAACCATCATGTAGTTTTGTCCTCCGATTTTAAAGCACAAGACATGGTCAAAAGTGATAGTGGTTTAGAAATATCCAATCTGGAACTGTAATGCAGATGTTGTTAACCTGGTCACATTCCAATATTTGCACCATAAATCCCCACGAGTGTCCTTGTTGTTGTTGTTGTTGTGGACGCGTCAAACAAAAATTCCGTCATTGATAAATATGTAATACACTTTTAAAGAAACAACAAGCCTACACTTTATCGTAGGTTGACTTGTATTTAGTTACAAGTTCAAAAAATTTACAACGGCCTTTTGTGCAACTAGAAGTTAATTTTTTTTTTTAGATGTGGAAAATTTTGAAAATGAAAAATAATAGCTTACCAAGGAATATTTATAAATTTTACAATATCAATTTTTTGAAAAGCCATCATTACTCAACAACTTCAACAAAAAAAGAAAATGTTACGTCTTTAGGCAAATATTTAAAAGATTCAATAAAAGTAATCATTTAATAAAATCAAAATTCAGAGATATTTTTCAAATACAGTTGTACCTCTATATATCCATATAAGAACACTCCCTAGTAATTTTTCTTTTTCTAAAAATGTTCTTATAGAGAGCCTGTTCTTGGTTGGAGATGTTTTCTACAAGCTTAATAATAATTGGTTCCCAACATACGTGTTCTTATAGAGGTTTTTATATGATGTTCTTATATGGATGGTTTTTATATGGAGGTATGACTGTACCATTTTACCACACACACAATTTAATTTGACATTTAAATGATACCTAGAGATCAGGACCGATTACAATTTCTAAATATATGAAAGAGGCTTTGACCAATCCGTTAGAAGGATATTATACGAAAAAAGGTGATGTTTTTGGTGTAAAGGGAGATTTCACAACATCACCTGAAATAAGTCAAATGTTTGGAGAGGTAAAAAAAAAATATTATCAATTGATTAATATATAAACATATATCTATGTGTGTGTATATATACGAGTAATAAATAGACTTTACCATTATTGGTGATAGCTGATAGGTATTTGGTTCCTAACTCAATGGAAAAGTCAAGGACAGCCTAAAAACATACAAATAGTTGAATTAGGTCCGGGAAGAGGGACTTTGTTAGATGACATACTTCGTGTATGAATAATTATATAATATATTTACATATATGATTTGGCTAGCTTCTAATTCATTCATTTGCTCATTTTTTAGGCTTTATCAAAATTTAAAGAATGTTACAATTCGATAACTAGAGTTAATCTAGTTGAAGTAAGTCAAGAAATGCGTAAAATTCAATATTCTAAACTTTGTGAGAAGGGAAACAAACAAGATGATAGAATTGAATTTAATTGGTACAACTCATTTGAAGAAATTCCTGGTAATATATTTTTTTGCATACATCTTTATGTAATAATGTTATATAAATATTTATATATAAATGTATATTTAGATTTATGGTCTATGGTGATAGCACATGAATTTTTTGATGCATTACCAATTCATAGGTTTGAAGTAAGTTTATTACAATTATCAAGTAGTAGTAATAATAATAATAATAATTGATTTATGGATTATTAGAAAACTGATAATTGTTGGAGAGAATATTTAGTAGATGTTGATGAAACTGATTTCAGGTACACATAATATTTTACACATTATATAAATAATACTTTATTTAGAAATGGATTGGTAGACAAATTAATAAATTAATAAAAATTGTTTGCTTACCACACAATTTTATTCTTGTCCATTAATTAACAAGCAAAAATATATATGCGTGTATATATTTTCTATCAAAGTGAATACCACTTCAAATTAATATTATCTTCAGAGCCAACAGATGCTTCCAAGCAATTAAAAACAAATTTTTCGCTTTCCAATTCTTCCTTCTGTCCTCAACCATCATCATCTACAACAAAATCAGCATTGAATTTTGATAAATTCAAAATTGGCGATAAAATTGAAATTTCACCTGAATCGTTCAAAACCGCAAAGCAAATATCGAAATACATTGGTCATAATAAAGGCGGAGCTGCATTGCTTATCGATTATGGGCAGGATTTTATTCAAGGAGATACTTTGAGAGTAAGAATTTAAAATAATCAACAAAAGTCGTTTTATCCCGAATTTTTTATTTAATATACATACATACATACATACATACATACATACATACATACATACATACATACATACATACATTTATTTTTCTAAAAAAAATTTAAGGCAATTAGAAATCATAAATTTATAAATCCAATGAGTTCACCAGGTGAAGTCGATCTAAGCGTAGATGTAAATTTTCAATATTTAAAAGAAGCAATTGCTATCGATAATTTGGGTGAATATATATATATATATTGATAATAAATATTTATATTATTATTTATTATTAACAAATACCATTCATAAATAATATATATATGGATATCTTAGTTAATTGTTATGGACCAATTCCTCAATCAAAATTTTTATTATCACTTGGAATAAGCTTAAGATTAATGGTATTGCTAAGAAATCCTAATGTTTCCAAAGATCCAATTTTGAAAAATGAATTATTACAATCTTACAAAAGGCTTGTTGATCCTTTATCAATGGGTAACATTTATAAGGCATTGGCAATCACACCTAAAGGTTTATCAGAAAAACCTTTTGGTTTTTAAGTTACATATATTTTACTGATATATTTATAGATGATTATTATTTATTCATAATAATCATAATAGTATATTATTTTACAAATAGTAAATACACTTTTAAATATAAAGAAGAAATAAAATTGGTTTTGTTAAAAGATCTCTTTCTTAAACGTTGGTGAATAGTTGGATTTTGAATGTGGAAATTGTTGATAATTACTTTTAAAGATTACACACATGTTGTCCTATCACTATTATCACTGCAACCGCCCACAATTATTATTGATTAATCATTCATTTCCTTTAAAATTGACGAAACAATCTTCAATTTGACTTTGTGTTATGCTTTTCTTGGCAAAGAGAAAATTACTATTAATGTCATCATTTGGTGATTGTGCTGGTGAAGGTGGTAATGGCAAATCAACTTTGATTTTGTTAATTATATTTGCAACCTTTACATCTTCTTTAATTAATAAATCTGAATCACCCCACAAGCACAATTTAAAACATAATTTATGTGATATTGTTATAAATTTACCAAAATATGTTGGTAAAATATTATTTGGAATGAAAAATTCAATTTCATGAAAACATCCTGCTTCATATTCATCTGCCGTAAATGAAGAAGATATCGACGACGACGACGACGATGAAGCTGTTGTTGATGATGGCGATGATAACCTCTTCATTCTTTGTCTTGGTATGCCTACAACATTTGATATATGTTTAATAAAACGTTTGTCAGTTGTTTGTTTATTGCGAAATTCCATATTTGTCTCCAAAAATATCTCTACTCGATCTAAGCTTACTCCACCACTATTACTACTACCAATACTACCCCGATTATCATTTTTGCTATAAGTACTATTACTATTATTAGAAGAAGAGTAAGTGTACAAAGAGAATCCGATTTTCATAGGAATTATTATCGAGACACCGATATTTAAAATTTTATTCGGTGGTAGCATAAAATCATATTCAATATCTCCATTTTTGGTTTTTCCTTTCAGATTATAATGAATAATGTTATTTTTATCTTCATTATCAAGAATTAAAGTTCTTTTCAACGGGCACAAAATCTCAACTGCCTGATTAATATTTATCGACAATGACGACGATGACAATGATGATGATGGAGATTTCAAGAATGGAAATACTTTTTTACTAACAGTGGCTCTAAGAATATAATTCACAGATCCCAATTCTGTAGAAAAACTTTGAGGTAAATCATTATCATTGTTGTTGTTGTTGTTGTTTGATAATTTGATTTTAAAAGGTATTAAGAGTTCCAAAATCTCCTTTGAATCTTCATCAGTTTCCCAGATTTTAAATGACTGATTTTCCAAAACTTCTTCACCATTATAAACAGTTTTCGATCTACCGTGAACATTGGACCAACAAGTTTTCTCAATACCAATCAAATCCAAATGAACGCTTTTGATCGGTGTCAACCTTTCATAATTTAGATAAACCGCTCCAATCAAATAACAAGTGTGATTTGGTCCAAGTGTACCCTTCTGAAACGAATTATGATAAGGTGCATAATAAAATGTTATATTTTTGTTATATTTAATATATGAAGATTCAGGTGGCAAATTTTTGTTAATGTCATCATCATCATTATCATCATCATCATCATAATTTAAATTGTATAACGATGTTGATAATGAGTTTTGTTGATGCGAAGGATAAAAATAACTCTTTATATATGCTGTTGGAGGTGGTCGAATATCATCATTTATTTTATTATGAGTTTGAAAAGTTATTGTAGTTGTCATATTTATTTAAAAAATTATTTTTTTTTAAAAAAATAAAAATAATTGAAAAAATTCCTCTCTAATGAAAAAAATAATTTTATAATAGTGGCTTATATATCTGCAAACATGGCTTTGACTTTTTGATTTTGATCAGCAAAAAATATACGAAAATCTTTACCAAAAAAAATTGATATTATCAATTAAAATGATCATAGAATTTTTCATTGTGAACCAGGCGGTTTCTTCATCGTTGCAGCTCTAAACTAGATGCAGCTTTATGAGTTGCCACCTTTTAATTGGGTTGAGACAGATTCCTACAAGTCTATTCCATTTAGTAATCCGCTGTTGATTTATTTAAAGAAGTTATAGGTTTGGCAGAAATTTGGGCTGCTGAAGAAGCTAATGTTGCTGTTATTGTTAATGAATTGTTATCAATCAATGATGCCAGATTTTTTGAGAACCATTCTTCTACTGTACCACACAAACAACTTTTTGCAAGGCGTTGAACTAATATTTTATACAAAGATCATCAGCTAGATTTTTTTTTGGTCTAATAATTCTGTCAATCCCATTCGTTCTTACAAGCATTGTTGAATGTTTGGATGGCTTTTTTCGTAATGACTCAAAATAATTGGGATTGTAGTTTTACAATTAATTTTGTTGGAGTCTCTTTCAGTAATAATACCTTTTTCTAATGCTTGAATGGTGTTTTTTTCATAATTAAATGTTTTACTTGATCCAAAAGGTATTGGCTGCCGATCACAAAAAAATATATATTAATATACGAATAATAATAAAAATAATTTGAAAAATTAAAAAGTCCAATAATAATTATTTGGCCACTAAGCAATAAATATTCAATACAACTTTGTCTTTTCCCTCCACTCATAATAAAAACAGACTATCATCAATGAAAACATTTTCCTGCTCTTTAAGATGTAGTCATGTGAATTATATAATAACATTTTAATTACTTATCATGGCCGGAGTTGTGATAATATTGAGATCATGGAATAACTCTAATTAACGCTATAAAATTTGACACTTCAAAATCATTATTATATTAAAAGAGAAAAAAAATTGTTATTTTTTATTTCAAATTTCTATGGAGAAAATTATCGGAAATTTTTTAAAGATTCCATTAACACTAAAGAGAATTGATTGTTAAAAAAACAACAATAAAATGAAGGAGAAAAATGGACAATTGTTTAATAATGTGATTACTTGATTTATTTAGTTAACTTGAATATTTAATTTAATCATTTTATTTTAAGTTTCTCAACCAGATTTCTCAAGTTTTCTCTCATTATTTTAGCAGGCAAAACATCATCACGACTGATTTCAAGTAATTTCTCAACATCTAATTTGTCTAATGATGAATAATCCAAAAATCTTTTATAAAGTACATCCATAAAAGATAAAACATATATTCCACATTCTATAATATAATGATAAATAATAGAAGAATATTAGTAATTAGTATTAATAGAAAGTGTATTATTTATTTTTATTTACCTGTGCCTAATTATAATGTGATCATTAATAGGTGATTAGTGAGTGTGTGATTATTGTTGAATATGCAATAAAAAATATATTAAAATAATATACCATTCTCTTGTGTCAAAGTTTTCATATATTTGAATTTATAATCTAAATAAAATATTATGAATTAATTGATTGACTGATTGATTAATCATTAATAGTTATTTTTATTCAGTACCTTGAATTTTAATAATTTCTGAAAATTTAAGTGCATTAAATTTAGCAATCTTTTCATTCATATTATGACAACTATCAAAATGAAAAAATGTATTAAGCCCTTTAACATAGATTAATAATGACCAATGAGTTCCACCTCTTGGTTGATTTACATTTAAATTGTTATTTATTATCATAAAAAATATTTCTGATGAAAATACTTGATTTGGGATAACATTTTTAAAATATTTTGTATCTTTAAAATATAATTAATAAATAGGTTGGTTAATAAATATTAATAATAATTTAATTAGAATTAATTAATTAATATTCACAAAATTGTTTCCTAATTTACCAACAGCATTGGATATAAGGTAAATTAATGCTGGTCTAAGAAAAAATATCTGGAAATCAGAGTTTGCTTTTTGTTTAAAATTATTCTCAATATATCTTAAATAAATAAATAAATATATATATATGTATGTAAAAAGATTTATTAATTATACATACTCCAACAATCAAAAAATTATCAATCACTTACTCTATATAAAAATCAATACATTGATCATTGATCCAGTTATAATCATCAAATAATTTTACATCCTAAAATAACAAGACTATTTGTTTATTTATTTATTTATTTATTTAATAATTGTTATATTCATATGAAAAGTTTGATAATAGATCACCTCTTCATAAAGTATAACATCATAATATGACAAAACTTTTTTTGCCATTTTTTTAAAGATAGGAAAAAAAAAAAAATTGCCCCAAATTTATAATTTAATCGTGACACAAATTAATTTAGTAAGAAAATCCTCAGTCTATTATTATAAGATGTTGTTGATGTTTGTTGATAATTTATAGATTTAAATTTGTTCTTAAGGATACGGTCTCTTGCGTGATCATTCAAAAATGTCGATCAATTTTGTTTAAATGTATAACTTCTCTCAAAACGTGTCTACTAATTAATAAATTAAAACCTCACACCCATTCTAGCAAAGTTTCAAGTTGTATTATTATACCAGGTTTATAGTCAAAGTTTCTCATCCCATAGAAAAAATAATTGGGCGCATCTTTTTTTTTTAAAACTTTTAAATATACAGTATTGTCTTTTTAAAGGTGTTTAGACACAATAAACATTTTTTTTAAAGAAATAATGTTTGCTCGAGTAAATTCACTCATAGTAAGATTAATTGTTCACTTAGGGAAAAGCGATAAAAACTATTTATTAATTATCTATTTGTTTATTTGTTGTTTTTTTTAATATTTTTTACTTTCAAATAAACAATAATAACGATAATATCAAATGATCATATACAAAGAAAGGATTTAATGATGATGATGATGATGATGATGATAATAATAATAATAATGGTCGCGTAACAATTTTTTCTGTACACCACATATCGTTTACCATAGGTTTAATTAATGCAATGTTGTATATACATACCCTTTAATAATTTATTATTGATGTTGAATTTCTATTACTGGTAAAAAAAATAAATTTAACAATAGTTAAACGTGTACAGTTTAATCAAAGATTTGACCTTTATTCGAATATAAACCTTATTCGAACAGAAACCCTAATACATGTTCTATATAAAAAAGGTTTCGACCAGGGATTTTAAATTCGACAAAGGGTTCCAGATTTCGACAGAGGGTTTCGAATTTGACCACATGTATAGCGTATATACGTCACCCTTGGCCTCCCAAAAAAAATATATACATATCTTATTTCTAGCAATATTGAACAAAAAAGTGTTCGAGTCATGTGATTTTATAAGTGGCCGCGCGGCGCAGCATTATCACAAAAAACACATGCGCCAATTTCCGTCGTACACTAATTCAAAAATGTCAACTTTTCATTCAATTTTTACATCAACGTCAGAGTCAACATCACCAGCTATAATTATACCACAAAATGGCTTGATAATTTCCTACTCGGCACTGTTACATCTTATTGACACTTTCCAAAATCAATTATTACAACAACAACTTAAAAAACAAGATGTTGTCTCGATTGTTTTACCTAATTCATTAGAATTTACTGTTTCATTTCTTGGCGTTGCCTTGCAAAGTAATATCGCAGCACCATTAAATCCTGCTTATTCAGAAGACGAGTTTAAATTTTATCTAAAAGATTCAAATAGTAAGGTTGTAATTGTGCCAAAAGGTTGGCTTAATAATGATGGTGGTAATAATAATAATGCAGCTATTAAAGCTGCAAAAGCATTAGGTGTTGGCATTGTGGAAATTTCATGGGATCACCAAAATCAAACTATTAAATTGGATTCTGAAAATAATAGTAATAGTAACAATCAATCAAATAAAATAATTATTAAAGCTGATCAGTCTGATGTAGCTCTTTTGTTACACACTTCTGGAACTACAGGAAGACCAAAAGGTGAAGATTCATTTTTTATTAAATAAAAAAGTAATTGAAAAATTATATTATAATTTATAATTTAATCTGCCTGTCTACATTAACATAATTTATATTACAAACTAATTAATTAATCAATACAGGTGTACCACTTACACATTTAAATATTACCACTACAATGAAAAATATCATAAAAACATATAAACTACAATCAAGTGATAGTTCATACTTGGTAATGCCACTTTTTCATGTTCATGGATTAATTGGTGGAATGTTGTCAACATTGTTGTCTGGAGGAACAGCGGTAATTCCATTAAGATTCTCTGCTTCTCATTTTTGGAATGATTTTTTAAAGTACGGATGTACTTGGTATACTGCAGGTATATTATATAAAAAAGAGAATACGGTCAAACCTTGTCACAGCGGACTATAATCAAATTCTTGTAAAATCCATGGTGGCAAGATTAGTTAGTAATTTTACCATAATGTATTTTAAATGTAGTTTTTTATGTGTCCCATTCATCTGCTGTGACAAGGTTTATTTATATTTGTTTATACATGTATTAATATATATTTTTCAAATATACAAAACTCACAATTACAGTTCCTACAATTCATCAAATATTATTAAAACATCCACCACCACCTAATGGTACACCTAAATTAAAATTTATTAGATCATGTTCTTCCTCACTAGCTCCATCAACCCTCCACCAACTAGAAAAGGCTTTTAAAGCACCAGTTCTTGAAGCATATGCCATGACTGAGGCAGCACACCAAATGACTTCTAACCCTTTACCACCCTTGCCACATAAACCAGGTTCGGTAGGATTTGGTCAAGGTGTCCAAATCTCAATTCTAGATCAAGATGGTAATACTACTGTCAAGGAGGAGGTGGAGGGTGAAGTGTGTATCAAAGGATTAAATGTTACAGCTGGTTACCTTAACAATCCATCAGCTAATGCCTCTTCATATACAAAAGATGGATGGTTTAGAACAGGGGATCAAGGAAAACTTGATAAAGATGGGTACTTATTTTTAACTGGTCGTATAAAAGAATTGATTAATCGTGGCGGAGAAAAAATATCGCCGTTGGAAATAGATTCAGTTCTTTTGTCACATCAAGGAATTTCCGAGGCAGTTTCATTTGCTGTTCCTGATCAACTTTACGGACAAGAAGTTCATGCAGCTGTTGTGTTGAAAGAAGGAGGTGATAAAAGTTTAAGTGAGAAAGAGATTCAATATTATTGTCAGGAAAAACTTGCCAAATTTAAAGTACCTAAAAAAATATATTTTACTAAAGTTATGCCAAAAACTGCTACTGGCAAAATACAAAGAAAAAATATTTGTGAAAAATTTTTCAAATCTCCGGAAATTAAATCGGTACTTTAACAAAAGTAATTTATTTATTAATGATGATATTTTTTTATATGTATGTATATGTATTTTGTCTGTATTCTTATTCTCGCTCATTTCTATCACTCTCTTATTCCTCTCTATTTTTTTAAATCTTCTTCTACTACCCAATTCTCATTTTCATTATCATCATCATCAATAGTATCATTATAGTTATTTATAAAAAAAATTTTTTTAAATGCTGCAAGAAGACCTTTATCTTTAAATTCTTTTTCACGTTTTTTTAATCTTTGACGATGTGGTTCTGAATTTTTTGGATCTTGGTAAAAATTAAAATGTTATTTATTAAAAATAACTTGTTAAATTTTGTATATTGAATATATGTATAAATAATAATTACTTGGGCATATTTGATATAAACTTGCATCTGTTGGAAATGGTGACCTTAAATCTCTATATTTTAATTTGATTTCTACAGTACTAGCATTTGCATAAAAATATTGATTGGTATAATAATTAATTATTAAATTCAAGATAATTGATAATATTATTAACACACAAACCTACCTTTCTTCTAAAGAAACGTAAATTTCTATTAAACTATAAGAAGTGTCAGCTTTTAAATTAATAAAACTTTGAGCTTGTAATCGTTTCACTTCTTCACGTTTTATCACATATGCTTGCAAAAAATCATCTACTGTATCTACAAATTTCTATTATATGTACTTAGGAAATCAAAAAATAATTCAAATTTAATGATACAAATAAAAATTAAAACCGATCCCTACATTTAAATCTTTATCAAGGTATCTTAATTTTAATTCTATCAATGGAATAAAATCAGGTAATGTATGATTTCGAATAGTAAAAGTTATAGCTTTATTTGTTTTTACTTTATCCAAACTAATATAATAATTTTCCATAAACTTTGCTGTTAAAAAATTAAATTTTTAATATTTTGCAAAAAATAAATAAATTTTGTTTCTTCCCCAATCGCTCTTAATAAAACATACCTTGATAAAATGTGCGAAATTTTAATTCAATACAATTGTTATTTTCTTCTGTTTGAGAAATTAATTTACCAATAAAATCATATGCTTTTAATATTTCATCAAAATTGATTGGTCGAGTAAAGATATCTTGATAGCGGCTTTCTCGATTATTAACCTTTTGAATATTCATTTCTTGATGATAGTTGTTCTCTTGATCATTAATCTCCTGATTAACTACTTGATCACTAGTGTTGCCAATAATATTGTGATTATTCTCCTCCACATTCTCCATTTCCTCATCATTAATGCCATTATTATTAATATTAACGTTTTTACGATTGTTATTAGTATTAGTCACTTTATTATTTGCTTTACTATTGCTACTGCCTTCCCTGACATCTTGAATAATAATAGGTACTTCTTCTTCTTCCTCCTCCTCTTCCTCAGCTGCTTCTTCTAATTTAGACTTTTTACTATTACGTGAAACTGGTAATGTTTTTGATTTATTACCTTGAACTCTAAAAATTGTTTATAAAATGAAAAATCATTACTGCACAATTGAAATGAATATTTTTTTTAACATAACAAATAAACATACGTTGTTTCATCTGTTTCTTTTCTTTTTCTAGTCATGTTTTTCATCAAATTTGTTATAAACACGTAAAAAAATTTATTTTTAAAACAATTTTGTTATCATGATGAAAAAAAATCAAAACAATAATAATAACATTTATTAATATGGGGGGGGGGGGGGCTTTTTCCAGTAAAACCAAACCTCCGAGGTCATATGACCAAATTTGGTTTTTTTATAAATTGGTGAAAATATCCGACCATGTTTTGCTTAATATTAATAATAAAGTATATTTTGAAGCAATAGATTAGACTAGAAATATTAAAATTGCGTAATTATTTTGCAATAAAAACATAATTCCCACATAAAAATGCTTTTTTAAAAAAATGGGTATTATTAAATGCTTGAAGGAATTTTTGCAGTCTTCAGGTACAACTGCCTTTACTTCTAAAGACCTATCCAAATTGTAAGTTCAAAGTCCAAAGATTTTTTTAAAAAAAAATTTTGATATTAAATTACTTTTCTTTGCACGGAATAGTTATCAATACGCAGCGGTTGGTTTTTAAAGTTGGACAAAGTTTATCCACAGAATATATTAATATGAAAAACTAAGACTATCAAATTTAACAAATATTTTTACTCGGCACCGATATAGCTCCAACCAATCAATACGGATACCGGAGTAACTCCAACAAACAGTTAATACCGGAATAGCTCCATAATAACCAAAGTTAATATTGATAATGGATGGTTACTTTGAAAATGATGTCAACGATTTCTATGACTATTTTAATAACGATGATAAGATGACGATGACAGCAATGATGACAATAATAACATCAATGATAATGATATGGAAGTTGAAGTTGGATTTTAGGTCCTGAGTTATGCTAACAAGTATACAATCCCACAAAGGGAACTTGAGCAACAGCTTAAAGGAATTCGTTTATACTGACTGTAGAGACATTGTTGGAGATAGGAATTGTTTATTCGGGAATTCTTTTTATTTTTATTACTGATGACGAATAACGATTGTTTATTGTTGATTGTTTAGATCTCTTTCTGATCAATTCTATAGGCATACTTGAAGTTTCGTTCAAAAATAAGAAGAGAGATTTGTGTATATTTGGAGGAAAAATGAGAACACTTTCAAATGTTTGTAGAAGATGACAATACTTTTGATTATCATTTATCGCAAGTGAAAAGGGATGGTACATATGGCGGAAATATGGAATTGGTTGCATTTGCTCAACTAAATTAATTTAAACACGATTTTTGTGATCAGTGGAAATGAATCAAAAAATATAGAAGATTCTACTTGGATAAAAACATTACATATAACGTAGCTTATTTGAAATTTTTACCTTCAAAAAAAATTTTTTTGATGAAATTAAAATAATTTTCCTGGGGGTGTATAATATGATAAAATTATTGTTGGACAGTTAATTTTTTTGTTGGATAGAAGAAAATTTCTTTAATTATTGCACTTGGTGAAATTTAGATTTTTAATTGTATGTTTATTGGCTACCACAATTGGAAACATTATAGTTCGGTGAGAAAAATTGACGAACCATTTGAAGGTGATCCAGAAATAACAATAGAGGCAATATTTCATTATAATTAATTAATAATAATTAATTGGTTAATAATAGTAATAATAATATATATACATATATTATTAGCCAATAAATTCATCACCAACAAGTAGTCCACCAGATTTACTTCCAAAATTCAATTGAAAAGATGGTTATGAATTTAACCGGTGTAAATAATTTAATAAAAATTCGAGCATTAATGGAAAAGTTAAATAATGATCAAGATAAAGTTATTAATAAATCATTTGAAAAAAAACAACAACAAAAGGAAACTGAAGGTAGAGATGACGAAGCTAATAATTTTTTTATGATGGTTAAATGAAGATAATTAATACTAACCCCAAAGATTATTTGCAAAATGACGAAGAATTAAATTCCAAAGCTAGCGTTTCAAGTGATGATAAAATTGAGAAAAAAAAAGAACAGAAGGATGGTGAAGAGGGCAAGGATAAGGATGATGTGAACGATATAGTGAATAATATGGCGAGTGATGTGGTGAAGGATATGGTGGATGTGATGAAAAATGATGAGGCAAATGATGAAAAGGAGAAAGGTGTGGTGAAAAATGATGAGATGGAGATGATGAGATGGAAAAGGATAGAATTGAAAACAAAATGAAAATAGAATCGTCACCTGAAAGGAATCATAAGTCACCACAAAAAAAAAAATCTGACAAAACTTCAATAGATCATTCTTTGAATTCTGAAATCGAATGAAGAAAACAAAGAAATCTTTTACAATCCTCAACCAAGGTTAAGGAAGGAAAAACATCATGAAAAGAGATCCTTAACAACAAATTCTTCAATAAAGATAAAAACAAAAACAAAAGATTTCATTATCAAAATTCTAGTCTAATAACTAGTAATAATGATAACAATAGCAACATGACAATGACCCAATCATATATAATTATGTTATATTTTCTTTTTTAAAAATTCAGTTTTGCTTGTTAAAAATTATTTAAGTTTATTAAAAATATTGGTTTCTCAACATAAATTCTACAATAAATTAATTAATTTACAAAGTTTGCTTAAAGTTCTATACATGAAAAATAAAATTTTTATCTAAAAAAGATAACTTTCTTTTTTTGAAGTTATAAAAAGTTCACTTCAACTTCAATTGATTATAAAACTTCAATATAGTAACAATTTAAATTATTTATTTATATTTATAAAATAATACATTAAAATAAGAAACAACGTATATAAAACTAAAGAAAAAGGTTGAGCGAGAAAAAACATCCTCCATGAAAATTTTTTTCTATAAAAAAAAAACTTTGTAAATGTGTATATATACACATAAAAAACAATCAACTGAACACCAACCAACCATTACGATCCTCTGAATGAATTAGTATTATTCAAGCAGATTTTGACAAGGCATTGCTAATACAAGAAAGATCACTTGCCAAATATGTACTACATGGAAGAAGACTTTTATCACTTTCTTCAACTGGCTCAGTCTTTACAATACTTTTCATTACTGTCATCAAATTTTCTATTGTTTCTTTGATATCTTCAAATGATGCCTCCTTATCGTAATCTTTAGGTGGGTTATTGTATTCAAAGTCCATATTATCACTATTGTTAATTTCAAACATTCTTTTTTTATTTGAATTGTCAGTTGAGTCAGAAGATTGACCTTCTTGTTGTCCACTTTCAAGTTTATGCTTCCTGTTACTAACATTAGCGTTATCAGTAGAGTGCTTTGGAGTTGGAAGAGTCAGTGATATGGTTTTCTTGGATATAGAGGGCATGGCTTGGCTTTGAACATTGGTAGCAAAAAAATTATTCGATCCTCCGTTGATTCCTTTTCTTTCAGCTTCAACAAATACAAAGTATTTGCTAAATTGTATCAACAACTCATCTACTTGTTTCAATGAAAGCAAATATTTGCCAGGTAACGCTTTTAATTGGTCATCGATCATGTATTTCATGGTTAGAAGCTTTTCTGTGCTTGAATGAGATTTAGTATAGTGGTAAAAGTAAGGAAGTACTTCGTCAACTTTATTGAACATTGGTTTTAATAAATCCAATTTTTCACGAACTTTTTTTTTCTCATCATCAGTAAGGTTAGTAATTTCACGGTATTGTATTCTCTTTTCACGAGCCTTGACATCAAGATCTTTAATGGCATCAAGAGCAATTCTAGATTCTTCTGGTTTAATGATCTCAAGTTGGTTTTCATTTGATGAATTATTATTCTTGCTGTTTTTGTTATTATTATTTAAATTTGTTGCTGATGATAATGATGGTGACGATGATGCTGATTGGTTATGGCTTAATTGTTTGAGGTTTGCTTGAGATATGCCAACATTGGTGATATTATTGCTATTATTTATTAATGGCTGTTGAAGTTGCTGAACAATTCTTTGGTTGATTTGTCTTTGCAATTGTGGAATTAAAACTGAACCAGGATTTAATTGAAGATTTAGTTGAGGATTATTTTGTTGATTACGGACAATAACATTGTTATTGGCAACATCAGATGTATTTACAGATTTCATGGTATTTTGATTGTTATTATTATTAATATTATTTGGAGCATGTATAACATTAGACATTTGTCTTTGTATCTTCTGTTGCTGCTGCTGCTGCTGTTGAATTATTTGAGCTTTTAGAAATTGACTTGCATTTAATATTTGATGAGGCATAGCATTATTTGTTGCTGTTGATGGTTGTGTAGTATTGATATTGATATTGATAGGACGATTTAGAGATTGTGGATGAACCATATTTGCAATAATTTTTTGATTAAACAACTGTTGTTGTTGTTGCGAAATAATAGATTGAGCCGAAAATTGAGCTGATGTAGGTATGATTTTTTGATTGTTAGCTATTGATTTAGAATTAGAATCTGACTCAGTATTATCAGGTACTTTTAATCTTTTGAGTATTTCTTTTAAGTCTATACCGACACCATTATTACCATTTCCAGTACTTGTAGCAGCATTATTTTTTTGACCAGAAGAACCAGCAGCAGCATTATTTACCATTTCTTGAATATCTTCTTTTTGTTTAATTAATGCTTCTATTTTAACATATTCCTCTGGTGAACTGTTATTTTTAGATTTATTATACTGCTGTTGATTTGTTAGTTGTTGTTGTTGTTGTTGTTGTTGTTGTTGTTGTTGTTGTTGTTTAATATTGGGAGATTGGTGAACTAGTTGAGGATGAACATTTGGTTGTGGTGAAGAATGTCCTAGTTGAGGAGGAGGACGAATAGGTAATTGTTCAGCGGCAGTAATTTGTGATCTTGGTATAGAAGCCTGTTGCAATAGAGAATTTTGTTGTCGTTGTTGTTGGATTTTTAAAAATTGCTGATATTGAAGTAATTGTTGTTGAGTAATTTGTGGACGACGAGCTTGATTAGAAGAACCTAATGGCACTTGTTGAGTTTGTTGTAAGAATTGGTTAAGTGCTTGTTGTTGTTTAAATGCTTGTTGAAGTTGAACAGTTTGTTGTTCAAGAGTCGGTTGTGATTGGAGTTGAGCAGCAGCTAAAATTTTTTGTTGTTGTTGTAAATATTGGACAGCGAGTATATTTTGCTGCTGTGACGAAAGTTGTAATTGTGGATTTTGTTGCTGCTGCTGCTGCTGCTGCTGCTGCTGCTGCTGCTGTTGCTGCTGCTGTTGCTGTTGCTGTTGCTGTTGCTGTTGCTGTTGTTGCTGTCGCTGCTGCTGCTGCTGCTGCTGCTGCTGCTGTCGTTGTTGCTGTTGTTGGTGTTGTTGTAAAATTTGTTGTTGTAAAAACAATTGTTGTTGGTGTTGTAGTACTTGCATAGGAGTAGCTTGATTTTGTTGTTGTTGAACGGATGTAGAATTTTGTTGTCGTAATTGTTGTAATTGCTGAATATTTTTTGTGAAAATTTTCAATTTCTCAGCAATTACTTGGTCGTATTCTTCTTTAGAAGAAGCTTTATCAAAAGCCTCAATTTCCCATTTCTTGACTGCTAAACGTTGAGAATCATTTATTTGATTATGATTAAAAATTTCCATAGCCCTAAAGAAACGTACAACATTTTGTTTACGCTCTTCCTCTGTCAAAGAATATCGCCATTCATTATTGTTGTTATTGTTATTATTGATGTTTGACATTCTTTTATAATAATTTCGAGAATAAATACCGAGATGTTAGACATTAACATGGACGGAAATAATGTAAGAAAACAATTTCCAAAAAAAGAAATCCCAATATTTTACTTTTTTTAAAAAAAAAAATTTAAATATGACTGTAATAATGACGGCATATAAAAAGATGAATTTACCATTTATTCAATTCTCATAGAAATAATTCATGAATTTAGTCAAACACTATTGTTTGTATGCTTGGCTGCTATAATTTTTTTTATGACATCTTTCAACCAAAGGCATGCCCCAGACATGTTTTTAATATGCCTGCTGTAACCATAAAAATTATCCAATTTATCAAAGACTCAAACTTTGTTTAAATGGTGGTGAAAGTGGCGAAATATAATTGACTGCCAAATGCAAAAATAATTAATCATGGATGCAACTACAAAGACTTGTACAAGATAACCCAAAGGTGTGCTCACAAAAAATGCAAATCGGTGAAGGATTTTTGTTCATCTTTCACATCAAGTGAGTTCTGACCAGATCCAAGATTCCACCCTTCTGCGGTGAATTCTCTTCAATCAATAGCTGAATGTTATAAAGCTGAACATGTTTGGCGGAGTACAATAAGATAAATGTTGAAAATGGAAGGTGGCCGTCATTGTCTTGACAATTGAGAGATGTTAAAAATTCAAAAGCACGATAAAAATGATTGATTCTAATAAATAAAACGTTTTTCCATTTAAAAAAATTTTGGAGCAATTAACGTTAACATTAACACATTAAATATTAAGTTAATAATGCTCTATATACATAATGTATAATACTTGAAATTTCGAAAATGCTTTTTTTTAAACAAAAAACTAAATTAATGTTTTTTTCTTACTACTATTACGTTAAATTAAATAATAAATAAAGAGTTCAAATAATTAATTAGATTATTTTTTGCGATTGAATTTTTTGTTCAGCTTTAGAAAAAATTGATAAAATAAAATTTTGTTTTTCTTGATTTAAATCTTTAGCAATTAAATTATATGAATCTGGATTATTGTGCTGGATATCTATTTGGAGTTTATAGATAATATTTTATTAGTAATTTATTATTATTATTATAAACTAGGAAATAATTTATTTACAACTTACCAATGAATGTTTGACGAAATTTTACATAAACATCAATTTTATCCAATGGCGATTCCAACAGTACTTCCTCGTCAAATCTTTCATCATAATCATACCCATCTTCAGCCTCTGAATTTGAATGCTTTTCGGTATAAAAAAATTTCAATTTAACTTATTAATTAATTAAGCTAAAAATTATATTTAAAGATAAATTTTTTTATTACCTCTTTAGCTAAAAGTTCTAAATATTTCACATCTTCGTTTTTCACATCTTCATCTAAATTAATATAGTATATTATATAATAATATTAGCGTGAATAATAATAATGATAAATAAACAAATAATCATAATTAACGTTGCTACCATCAGCATTTTCTTCAGATTCATCATCTTCGTCATCATCATCTGTTTCATCAACAATTTTATTTTCACAACTCCCAGCATCAATATAAGTTTTAATATCACTTCTCACTATTATTTTTAAAAAAAGAATTTAACAATTAACCAAGTATGCGCGCACACATAAAAAAAAAACAAATAGTAATGATGGTAGTAATAATAGTAACAAACCGATTACTTACATTCTTCTGCTTTAGGTAATGATTTAAAAATATTTAATATTCCATCAAATAAATTTGAACAATTGTTTTGTAATGCCAAAGGTAATTTATTTAATGGTATTTCTAATAAGCCACATAAAGTCAATATAACTAATTTTTTATCATGCACTCTTTTAAATTGATTTATATTTTCAAACCATAAATTAAAAAATGGTTGAGTAAAATTTTTTTTTTCAAGTAAATCTAAAATAATCAAAGGATTATAATAAATACAATTTACAATCTGGAATGAATATAGATATATATGCTATTAGTTTATAATAATTAATCATAATATGTGCCGAAATTTTTTGTTGAAGATTTGAAAACGTGAAGATATTACCTATAAAGAAAATAATGTTACCTTTTTTGGAAAACATTTCAAATCTCCGACAAAAATTTCAGCACATACCGAATTTTTTATTAATAATTATAAAATAACGTACTTACCGTTTCAATACAATGGAATTTAAATGATTTGGTAGTAATGTTTTGAATGTTTGATAGATAACCAAATGTCAAATGAAATATATTAACAACATACTAAAATATTAATAAAAATAATTAACATATAATGATATAACAATAAAAATTTTTTTTTTTTAATAAAAATATTAAAAATATTTACTTGATCTATATGACCTTTACAATTTAATATGAATACTTCTGCTAATTTACAACCACAAATCTTATCACTCTCAGCCATCGTATCAGTGTTAAATATCTAAACATGTTACATATTAGTATTAATGCATTATAATGATGATTTTCAAAATTCTCGTCTATTACTTACAGTTTCAATCATATCATAAAATATCATTTGTAAATCTTTATTTTGTATGAAAACATCTCTACCGTATAACACATAATTATCTAATGATGGAAGCATTTCTAAAAAAAATTTTATAAATAAATAATTAATTGCTAACTATAAATTGTTAACTATAAATCACTTGATAATAATAATTCACCTTCAATATAATCAATTCCATCAAGTTTGAATGTTTTATAAATCAAGTTAAATAAATTCCACATCGTATTTGAAATTGTTTTTGTAGAAAATGTGCAACTATCAATTATATCAAAAATATCACTATATAAATCTAAAGTACATAGATATTTGTTGTTAATAACAATACAGGATCACACAATTTATTATACAGCTTGAGAAATTTTTTTTACCTATTATATTATTTTCCAAAGTGAATGAAATAATTGGCAACAAAACATTTTCTAATTGATGTAATAAATCAGTTGATGATTCCAAGCTTAAAATTAAAGTTATGACCGTTTTTAAGACACCTGACGCTATAATTGTCTTGTCACTTATATCATAACTATCAACAAAATCATCAACATCACAATTATTATCTATTTCTGCAGCCTCTGATTCTTGATACTCTTGCATGATACGAAGAAAAGTATTGCACTGATAATTAATATATAATTATATATTATATAACTATAAATATATATAATTGTTATTCTTATTAAGATATTAATAAATTTAATTTAATTACCAATTGTTGGCATAATTGAACTGCAAATGGGGCCAATTCATTTGAATATTCCTCAACCAAATCCTCCATAACACTACCCAAAATATCTGAATCAATTTGATTTGTAATATCAAGTATTTCTTTTCAAAAAAAAAATAAAAACAAAATAATTAAAATAATGAAGACTCTTACAAGTTAAATTTATAGATAAAGATATATATATCAACAAGACGATTAATTAATTACCTTGCATAATCACTGCAATATTTGGAATTATAGCATTTCTAACTATAAATGATTTAATGATTAATGGATTATGTATGTATGTATGTATGTATGTATGCATGAAATATTATTATTTACCTGATTTGTGTTTAATAAGTATTTGTAATGCCAAACATGCTTGTACTTTAACAGGCAATTCTGGATCTTTTATACAATTAATAACACCTCCAAAAGCAGTTGACAAATTTGCTTCATTTTCAAAGTTTATTATACCAAATTTTACAACCATTTCACATGCCTTTAAAAACAACAATAATTTTAATTGTTAATGTTTAATAAATTTTAGATATAGCAATAATAATAATAATAAATAATAAATGTAAATACCCTGGCTCTTAGGAAATGATATTCTGATCGAAAATCATTAAATACATGAGCAGCTAGAAATGACTCCATCATTTGTGAAACCCCTGAATTCTTTTTTAATATAACACTGGATAAACTTCCGACCATTTTTAAAGCTCCATCCTTTTCTCTTGGTCGTTCATTACCATTAATTAATACGTTGTTGGCAAATTCTAGCACACTTGAAAATATAAATTTTTTCCTATATTTTACTAAATCAATTAAAAAATTAGTAACAGATGTCATTGGTGAGTTGAAATCATCCAATGGATCAACCCTTTTGAAAATGTATTCAACTGGATCATCTGTCCATAATTGTTCATCTTCGTCAGAAAAACATAGTTGAGGAAAAATAAATTGAGTAGCCAACGTTAAACAATATGGTTTCATTATATGCCAAGTTATTTTATTAGTAAGGCTAAAGTTTTCAAAACGTGCATATATGCATAAAAATTAATCAGCTTAATAATAATAATAATAAATTTCCAAGTTCAAAAACAATTAAACTTACGCGTCCTTATAGAAATCTGATATGAAATATAATATTTTATTATTTAACCAAATTTCTTTTTTAATCCATCTCTCAGTTATTTCCAAATATTTTTGCAAAACTTCTGGAGCATAATTTTTAATAAAATTCTCGGAAAATTTTAAATATTTTGACGAGGAAGATGATGGAATTTGAATTGGATTTCCAAATTTACTGAATATTCTATTCAAGGTTTGAAAACACCATCTTTTAACCCTATACCAAATAAATTTTTGTCTTTCCTCTAAATCCACCGGGATGATATCATTTGGAATATCTTTAATTGTTAAATTTATTAACAGATTAAACCACGGTAAAAAGTTCTCATTTTCTCTTAGAATATCTGGAAAATCAAAATACACCGATGAATTATAAGTCTTAATTATAATTCTTAACATTTCAGCTGCAACAAGATTTGTTTCATTTATTAAGCCTTGAGCAATATGTATAATAATTCCAAATGTATTTTTGATAATTTCATTTAAAGGTTCTCTGTCTTCTCCTGATTTCCATCTAAACAAATTATTAATTAATTATAGTATTTTGCAATAATTCATCACAAATGTAATATAATTTTAACTTACTGATATACATTAACAACTTGTTGTAATGCTACTAATCCAACGTAAACAACTTCTGGATTATTAATCACCAAAAGTTCGCGGACTTGATTCATATAACTTGGCCATTTTAAAGGATACTCAGCTATCAAAACTTTTTTCAAACAATCAATAAGTTGTATTCTAATAATAATATTGTCTTTGTTATTATTAGAATAATTTTTTTTAAAGAGTAAAAATCTAAATTTTACCTGACAAGGTTTGGTGATATTGCCAAAATATTTAAAATATTCAACTTAAATGTTTCCTTATCTTGTGCAGCAATTGAAAAAAATGTATCATCATGACTGACATTGTTATGCCATGAATGTCTAACCATGTTCTTTAGATATATCGAGACTTTTTAAATCAAATAATAATAATATTATTATTATTAAATTATAAATGAATGTGTATGTATATGTGTGTGTGTGTGTATGTGTGTGTGTGTGTGTGTATGTGTATGTGTGTATGTATGTAAATACCTGCTTGTTTTGTTCCATTTTCTAAATCTTTTGAATTCAAAATTTGAAGAAGTACTGAAACAAATCCAGGTTGAAATTCTAACTAATTGTAATCACCACATCATCAATTTATCGATATAGCAATAACAATAACAATATTAATTGATAAAGATTCTTATTTTACCTGTTTAAGTTGTAATTCTGCTTGTTTTTGTATACTCCGATCTGAATGAAAAGTTGCACCAAATAATTGATAAACTGTATTAATATCCATCTTTATAAAACGATAATTAGTTTTCTAGATAAAAATAAAAATTGAATTAATAAATAAAATTCAAAAAAATTTACTTTGTGTTTGTATTTATAGCTCATCGTGTTACACACGTAATTTGTTGATTATCATTTTTGCAAACATGCGGTAAAAAAAAAAGCTTTTTCAAGTAATAAGCTCCAAATAAAAATAATGGTAGTGAGAATTCGTTTGGCATGTCATGGTATCCGTAACCGACCATTTTATCATGTTGTAGTTGCAGATATTAAATCTCCGAGAGATGGTAAACATATAGAAAAAGTAGGAATTTATGATCCAATTCCAAGTCTAGACGGTATAAAAAATATTGAGTTAAACATTGAAAGAATTAAATATTGGTTGGGAGTTGGTGCACAACCTAGTGAAACTGTTGCTAGACTTTTATCAAAGGTAACAAATCTATAAGTATATAGAGGGAAAATGGAGGATAAAGTGGAGGGAAGTTAGTAAGAGATAAAAAAGTTATTCGTATATATAAAAAGTAGGGTTAAATTAAAAAAAAATTTTAAATGATTTTAGGCAGGAATTATTCCTCCGATACCAAGAAAAGAAGTAAAGATAAATGACAACAAACCTTCATCAGATACATCAACTAATAATAATGGTGGTGGTGGTGGTGGTGGTAAAGATGATTCAATAAAAAAGAAAGAAAAATAAATTTGAATTTCATTCTTTTTTAAAAATTAAAAATTTATTAATCTTCGATTTCTTTATTTGTCAATCAATCAATTATACAATTAATTATAAAACACGATAATAATTGTAACAATTACAATAATTATAATTACAAACAAGGATACTTTGATGGCAAGCGAAAAGTTCTTTAGCTCAGCATCACATGATTTAATTGTTCCAAAACAACAATGATAATTAAAGAAGTTGAAAATGATTTTAAACCTAAACAATTAAATTTAGTAATTGAAAAAATAAGTAATAACTGTTCTAAATTTTCACTCATTGCTATAATTATTATTTAGTTCAAAATGATATTTTAATAATAATCTTATACATGCAATTGCCATTTCTAAATCTTTAATTCATAACAACCCATTAGTTAGATGATGGTTGCTAGCTTATGAACTCGTGAATTGATGAAATAATGGATTGCATGGTTGATAACATCATTTACTGATTTCTTCTCCTGACTGCCCTTGCATTTATCTGTACACGACTCTGAATCCAAAGACATTGTAATTATTGTATCTTTGGGGAAATCAAAAAAATCCAGTTCAAATATATATAGCTGTTTTAGCTGGTGTCACATTCAGAATATGCTTTGATTTTTGGCTAAATGGTATCGAAAAGTAACGAAACAGACATACGGATTTTTATTGATTTCAATTTGTGATAATAATCATATTTATAATAGATTCATTGTTGACAATATTATCTAAGTTATTGATAGTTGAACAAGAACGTTTAATTTTGCTGCTGGTATCATCAAGTAATGATAAACTAACGCTTTAAGAAATACAGGTTTTAAACAAATTTCTAGCTTTACTAAACAATGTTAAAACTATTGGAATAGAGAAATAGCAGATATTTAACCATAAAAACAAAACATAATGTACTGGACATAGAGAGCAAGCAACAGAATATGAGCGGCAAGAAATTTCTATTTTTACAGAAGAAAAATTCCCATTTATTAGCTATAAGAGATTTTTTAAAAATCCATATAATGAAATGATGTAAACTATGAATTAACCAACTAATCCAGATCACTAGAATCAATCAAGGTGTAGGGATAATATCGCCAGATCCATCACAATATGAAATGGCACTTTGAAATAATAAAAAGCCATGCCCAGTGTTGCCACTTCATTTTGTGCCCAATTCCTAGCATTAATAACTACATCGTTTTTATGCCCATGCATAGAGATGGGCATTATGAACATTAATTTGCATAATGCACATGATGATCTTTTATATAACCGATTTATTTAAAAGTATAAAATTTAACCTAAATAAAATAATTATTTCTTAATCATTTTCATATCCATCTAACTCATATAATTCAATTATGGTATCTGACTCATTTGATCCATTATCACTTTCTTCATCACCTTCCCTAATCTCATTATTTAAATTCCCTTCCACTTCTGATAATTCATTATCTTCATTTTCATCCTCACCTATATCAATACTACATCATTTTAAGTACATGATGTGAAACTTTGGTACGGTTTGCAGCAGCATGCATCACTTTTGATGAATGATGGTAGAGTCCATCAATGCATCTTTGAACATCTTCATAACGAAGATTATTAAGCATCTCCTTCATATTTATGAAGGATTTTATATAACATACATGCAACTCCTGTCTAAAAATCAAAATAATAATTATTTTTTACTCTTGAAATTCTATAACAAAAAGAAAAAAAAACCAACCCTTAGGGTTAGCAATGTATGAATAATATTATAGACATCATTAGGAATTGCTATATGTAAAAGAATTGAAACCTGTTCTAATAAACAATATTTGAGGATGCCTGTTTCCCTACGCATAGCATAAATTTCCAACATATCTCCTACAAAATTTAGTTGTTAACCTATGAATCTTATGTAATTAGCATAATTATTACTTACCAGCAACATTAACTGTAAAAATTGCCAGTTGCTGTCTTGTAATTGATTGGCTAAATCTTTTTCAAAGATTAGAAACATTCCTTGTGATGTCAATAGAATCTTTAGAAAATCCAGCCAACTTTTTATGATCCCATATTTGCTTAATTAAAGTTGAATTCAGCTGTCCAGTTTCTAAAAAAGAAATTTCAAGTTCTGCATTTTTTCCTAAATGAGCTAGCAAAGTATAATCTGCTCTTTGTGCGATTTTTCATAAACCTTTCCTCATAGCACTAGCTAAACTTCCTTCTTCGCCTCTTAATTTAGAATTTTCATATTATTCATGCAACAAGTCAGATGAAATAAAGTGCTTATCTAATATATATAATAAACATACCATACACCCCATGCTGATGGATACCCTGGTAAATCATCCATTACTATATTTATCAGTGGAGAAATTACTTCACATACATTAAGAGCCCTCATTAACCCATGGTTTTCCATTTTTTGCAAAAGATTTATATTTCAGTGATCCCTAAATTTTGTCCCTAAAAAAGAAAAAAAATAGTTTATGAAAAAAAATATAAATATTGCTTCCAATAACCCTCTCATTATTTGCTCAAGTTTTTGGGTTGATCTACTCACTTTCCAAATTCAATGTTTCCCATAATATCATATTCTTCAGAGTCAATCTTTTCTTCTTCATCTTTAACAAACTCCTTACACATATTAAATATCACATTATTTACCAAGTTTTTATGATTGTTTTTCTTATTTATAGATAAATTTTTTTAATGTAAGAAAACAACAAAATTAAACTGGTACAATGTCAATTAACATTTTTGGTTGAAATTTTTATTTTTACTTCTGATTGTACTATAATTCTTGGGTTCCATAGTAGATCTGATATAGATGATTTTCATATTAATTATTTTGATATTAAGGAGAAAACAAAGATAACAAACAAATGGGAGACTTTAATAATCATATTACAAATTTTGATCCCTGAAATTCTTGGTAATACCAATGTTCACTTTGTCTGGTTTTGTTGCAGTATGCCCCATGTGTGAGAGAGAGGTCTTCAATAGTGCACCATTGACACTCCTTATAACAAATATACCAATCATTTTTTATTATTATGATACAATTAATCATCATCACTAATGTAAAGACATGATAGATTTTACTCCATGATTTGATTTCAGCAAGATAATTAGCTATTTTATATAAAAAAAAATCTCTGGCTGCTAACAAATAGTATATCTTCTTGATATTAATGAATGCCATTCAAAAAATAACTAACTATTTAATCTCGTACATGAAGATCATTATGTGAACTGATGAACTTAAGATGCCGATCTCTCTATTTCAGGACAAAAAATTTTTATTAAAAATGTCAAAATTAGCAATAAAAAGACTTCCTTCACTGTCCAAAATAGCAGAAACAATATTGGATTTAAGAACAGGATTAGGAG